CTGTGTGACCGGTATTGTTAGAAATGATGGAAAGAAAATGATGGAGAAGACAGACTACCCTGCTCTTCTGGAGCTCCTAGTCTAGTCAGAATAACTCTTGTCATGTCTGTTACAGTCTCTGTATGTCAGTAAACCCATTGTTGTTTTGTTTTGTTTTCTCCATGGTTCTCTTGAGTATACTAGAGCAATGGTTCTCAAGCTTCCGTATGCATGAGAATTATAATGGAGGGTGCTCGTTTTAATGTACACTCCTGAGATCCAGAGATTCAGATTAAGCAGGAGCTCAGGAATAGGTACATTAACAAGACCCCATCTGGGGCTGACCCTTGGATCTGCCAAGATCACTTTGGGACATGCTGCCCCTGAGATTTTTCCCTTTCATGAATATCTGAATTTACTCTTTGGGGAGCTTTAGCCGCCAAAGGAGCGCTGCCAGGCAGTCATAGATTACAATTCTCTTTTGGGTTCCCTCATGCTTTTTGTCTTGAGAGACCAGATGACCCAGGAATAGAACTGCGAGGAAGAAATGCTCAGATCTTAAGTCTATTTCTGTCTCTTAAACTGTGTGACCTAGAACAACCAACCTCAGAAACTTTTGGTTTCCTCATTCGTTAGGAAGGTCATACTTGTGCACCATTTATCAAGCTTGGTTTGAGCCTTAAGTGAAGGAACGGGCATAAAAGCATTTAATGAAATAAGATGACAAGACAGACTATCCACACAAATAAGATAAACTTGTTAAGGGAGGGGTCCCTGGGTGGCTCAATCGGTTAAGGGACTGACTCTTGATTTCGGCTCAGGTCATGATCTCCCAGTTTTGTGATTTTTGAGCCCCACAGTGGGCTCTGTGCTGACAGTGTGGAGCCTGCCTGGGATTCTTTCTCTCCTCTCTCTCTGCCCTTCCCCACTTGTGCTGTGTCTTTCTTTTTGTCTCAAAATAAATAAACATTAAAAAATTTAAAAAGAAACTGTTGCCAAGATTGTACTCTCCTCCATATACGTAGATTAGTCATATATTTATTATAATTTAAGAAGAAATAGACATTTGCTATCTGCCAACAATTCCTGTTCTTCTTGATATCCTCTACGTACACTTGAGATAAATAATTACTTTATGACCTAAATTTTGTAAAAAATGTTATAGGAACCCTGGTCTTGGGAACAGATGCAGCCAAGAAGCTGAGTCTGTCATGTTTAATGTCAAGACCTTGAAACTGTTTGTTTTGGTAATTGAAGCTATACTGAGGGTTTGCTTTTTTCTTTCTTTCTTTGCCTTAAAGCAGGCAGGTTTGTATGTTAAATATGTTTTTATGTTCTGACTGGTTTTCTGTTAACATCTTTTGCTCAAAGCAAAGTGATCATTCCATTTATAGAATTTCAATTAGGAAATTTGTTTATTTAGGGAAGCTTTTTTTTCTACAAATACGCAGAGGAACTCTAGATGTTTATCACAAGGATATCCTGGCTGGCTCAGTCTACTCTGCAACTTGAATATGCTTTGAATTGCGCATGAAATAGTTTTTCTCAGCTGGTGTATGCAGTGGCTCTTCAAGAGTAGTTTCATTTTACTTTTTAAAGGAAGACATGGTCTCTTATCCTTCTGGGTTTTCAGATAAAACACATATTAGTGAATGAAAAACAACAAAATCTTGCTTACTTGTACTCCTGTGTTTTGTAAAATAATATATAAATTTCCCAAAGAATGCATTTTGGGGGAACAGAGAAGCAAATTGAATTGTTAAGTGCTGAGTTTCTTCTCTAGACCTTCCTATACTGTTTTATCTTACATGTAAAGAGCTTTCTAAGGAGTTGCTGATACTGGTAATTGTATCCATGTTGGATATTTGCATAAATGATGTTATTTTGGGTGGAGCCTTAAATAATTGAGCATTTAAGCAGATTGTTTGGTGACTATATTGGCCCATAGTCACCTGCCAGGATAGTCTGAAGCCTAACATCAGTAATTTCTAAAACTATTTCAGTTCAAGCCTAACTGGTGGATTCTAGAACTCCCAGATTTGCCAGACAACCCTGATGTCTGACACCATCAGCGTGTACAACAAAAAAGGGTTAATTACAGTGTAATTTTAAGGGAGTCACAGAATATGTAAACACAGTAAAACCTTGGTTTGTGAGCATAATTTGTTCCTGAAACATGCTTGTCATCCAAAGCACTCATATATCAAAGTGAATTTCGAGAACCATTGGCTCTGTTGTGATCATATGACATTAGGTGTCACATACTACTTGTATCGCAAGACATCCCTCATTTATCAAGTTAAAATTTATCAGAAATGTTTGCTTGCCTTGGGCAACACTGGCAGAACAAGTTACTCACAATCCGAGGTTTTACTGTAATTCATTGTGTTCTTTAGAGTCCTATATTCATGTTTGGGTAATAAGGTAATAGCTGCATGAGGGGTGAAAAAAGCATTTTGCTGAGGTTCTGTCAATCAAAGGGATGAGACAAGCCAAGTCCATATCAGTTCCCTGTCAGCACTGATAGGCCTGTATCTTGTCATCATGAAGCATTGCTGCACATATGAAGCGTTTCATATGGTCACCTCTCACCTACCTGATGAGTTGCCTTTTAGCACCAAGCTGGACCCCAGTTTGGCCTTTCTCAATTCACCCAGTACAGAGGGAAGAAGGAAGGCTAATATTGTTGAACAAGTATAAAGGCCAAGTAGAGACTTTTACTGACAATCTTAAACCTTAGTGTTCTCCGTCACTTGGATTTTACCCAGTATTCCTCAGGAAACATAGAACCATCTCTCCCCCCACCCCTCTTTTTAACCTACTAATAATCCTGCAATGTATTTCTTGCTTTTTACCAGGAAGAATTTAAGATGATTTTTAAAATAACCCACAATACATCAAGATAGCATATATTACAAGCGGGTGAGGAAGACACAACAAAGTGGAAAGAGAGGCACGGGCGTGCGGGGATGGGTGCAGCAGGTCGATGTGCGCTTTACATGCTTTACTGCCATTGCCATGAGAGGACGTGGGACTTACTACAAAAGCCACATGTAACTGCATCCTTCCATCAGGCCAGTAAGAAGCTGGTGTGGGCTGCATCAGGATAGGCCAGGTCTTACGCTGGCTTTCTCTAAACCCATGCATATGACTACTTAGAAAAAGCATAGCTGATGCTAGTTTTAAAAAGCCAACAATAGTTAAATACGCAAACTTGCCCATATATTTTTTGTGTCCTAGGTTGTGCCAGACACTCATCTCTTTGGGTAATCTACCTAATAGCTCAAAGAGGTAGGTTGTGTGCTCTCACCTGTAAACAGGTGAAGATACTCGGGTTGGAAGAGGTAAACTTATTTACCTAAGGCCCCCCCAAGCCAGGAATTATGGGGAATTGGGCCGTAATTCATGTGTTCTGATTGCCAACCAGTTTGACCCTTCATGGGGACTATGTATGCTAAGAAGTATGTGTAAAGTTTGTTACTGAACTCCTCTATTTGCTTTCTCCTTACGCAGGCATTTCTAACTAACCTGTAATAATGGCATGTGGGGGTGGCAGGTACCTGATTAGCAGTGAGAAGCAGCAGCTGGCACCAAGGGAGGCGGACCCAGCAGTCTCCTTTGGATAAGGACCACTTAGCAAACAGTCTCATACCCTCAATAGCTCCGGAGGAGCCCAGCACAATTATGACGTTTGTTAAGATGATACCACATTATCAAGGAATGCTTAAATTATATTTATTATATTCTACTTATGAAGGCAAAGGATTGCTTTACTTTAAGAGTTCCATTTGGACTTAATTTACTGTTAAAAGGGAGACAGCATATTATCTACAAATTTTCTACCCAGACTCCCCATGTCTACACTGCATTGCCCCGATGAAGATTAATAGATCTGAACCGGAGTGGGAGGAGTGGTACATGCAATTGTCAAAATGAACCAGAAACTGGATAAGAGAGGCAAAGAGCTAGCACACTTGTTTAAAGTCCCAAGCATTGAAATCTATTATAAGAACCATATAATATATTAAATTTGTCTTTTCCATTTAATTGCATGTGGAAATGAGAACTTGCTTATTTCTTTGAAGTAAAAGTGAGAATGAAATAGGTTTAGGTTTTTTGAAAATCTACATTCTATAAAGGATTTTTAAAATTCATAGAGGATTGTGTCCAGGTTTTTGTTGATCTACAAATATACAATGGACCACACAGTTGATGTAGTGCAAAAATAAGCAAGAAATTAGCTGAATGTACCTGTGTTAGGGTACTGAAAAATCAAATGGGTGCATCTAACAGTATATAAAAGTTGGAGATGTGGGAAATATTTTTAGGGCCTCCCCCCCGTTTTTAAAAATTACAAAAAGAACTTGTAAAAATTACAGTGTATAGCATTTAAAAGTCATTTTGAGAGGCACTTGGATGGCTCAATTGGTTAAGCATCTGTCCTAGGCTCAGGTCGTGATCTCATGACTCTGTTTCAACAGCTCGGAGCCTGGATGTGTCTCCCTCTCTTTCTGCCCTCCCCCGCTTGTGCTCTGTCACTGTCTCTGTCTCTCTCAAAAATAAGTAAAACATCATTTTGAGCTCTGAGGAAATGCAATGTTTGTTTACATCTTAAGGCATATATTCACTTTCTATTGAGCGAGTGGAAATAGATATTTTTGCATGTTTCTGAAAACAAGTTTTGGGTATGAAACAGCTGTGTAAAATTTTGTTCTGAATGAATGTTTTTCTTGTCTAACATGAGAAAGTAGTAATGGCAGCTGCTAGCTTGGAAACCATGGTACTGTTGATAGGCTTACACACCATGTTGTATTGACTAAAGGCTGAGGAGAAACAGCAGAAAATACTCTTTTTCTGCAAATTTAATAAATATTTCCAAAAATAATAGACCTACCTCATTTTCTTCTCTTCTTCCCTGTCTATATATTTATTCATTAATGCTTATTTTGGGCTGTCGTGTGAACCCATCTATATAACAAATGGTAATGCTTTTTCTTTGGACTTCATTTCCTGTGTTTCAGGTGGGCCAGCCATGAGAGGTTACCTTGTGGCCATATTCCTGAGTGCTGTCTTTCTCTATTATGTGCTGCATTGTATATTATGGGGAACAAATGCCTATTGGTAAGTTTCATTTTTGCTCCTTAAAAAGAATTCCCGGGGCACGTAGGTGGCTGTCGATTGAGTGTCCCACTCTCGATTTTGGCTCAGGTCATGACCCTGGGGTCGTTAGATCAAGCCCCACGTTGGGCTCTGCACTGAGCATCGAGCCTGCTTAAGATTCTCTCTCCTTTCCTCTGCCCTTCTCCCCTACTCATGCACATGCGTGCGCACGCTCTCTCTCTCTCTCTCTCTCAAATAAAAAAATAAAAATAAATAAAAATGATTCCTAAACTAGTCTTTGACACCGTCACACAAACGATGTTAGAGGGGCCTATAAAAAATAACTCTTTAGCATTCTGAGCCTTTTTTAGCTTTCCATGATAAATTGGCGTTTTCCTATTCCAGTGTCTTGTACGTTGTAGCTCTAACAGTTTGAAAACTGATAAAACAGCACCTATTATTGACATTAGTGAAGCAGTGATGTTGACTGTTTCTGGGACATAACACTCTTTATATAAGATTTCATCTCCTTGAATTGATGGAGTAATTCTTTGACTCAGTGGTTCTTGACTGTTGAGCCTAAAATGCTTGGATAAGAGGTTAATGATTAAAATTTAGACACTGCATATGGTTTTTTTTTTTGTTTGTTTAAAAATATTTGATGAATGATGATCCACAGTATGAAACCACTTTGACTTGAAATATCCCATATAAAACTTTGAGGAGGCATAGGTAGTTTGATTGCAGAGAAAACTTATAAGCTTTTCATTCTTTTCTCTATTCTCAGTGCTTTGGCTAGGAATAAAATTTTGATGACCTTTAAATCCTCAGTGGATGGTAGTATATGATCTCAAAATAAATCATATGACAGTTTCCTATCGTAGATGGAATATTCGTACTCTTTGCCAGTTTTCCAATTAGACATTTTAGATCATGTTTCTGGGTGTTTTTTTCCCCCCACTAGATAAAAAAAAAGTTCATGCTTCTGAATTTATTTCACCACTGGTTGATTGAAAAATTATTATAATGCTATTCAAGGAAGGAAGTTTGGCAGATGGTCACTAGAAAAATCCAATGCCAGGTGGGTGGGTTTGGCCCGAAGTTTCTAGGCTTTGGACTTAAATACTGAACTAGATGTCTTAGAAGTCTGATTATACATCACATGAGGGTTAAACCACAGTGTTCTCTCCTTCCAATTTTGCCATATCCCGTCTCTGTACCACACTTAGTAATGGAAGAAAAGAACAGGAGAGAAAGCAAGGAGTTTGCTAGATGGCTACTTACCTACAAATCCTATTGTGTGTCGCAGGGAAAATGATAAAGAGGACAATGCAAAGAGTCTGAATTCTGCAGTCTTTTGTCCTGCAGGTTTGAGAGTTTTTATGACCCTCCTAAGCTAACCCATAATTCTAGCTAGTCACAGAAAGCACGGTGGGAAATTACCTCAGGTGGATTTTGTGCTGTGAACTTGCTTCCTTAAATATTATCTGACAGGTAACTTTTTTAAGCCACCCAAAGGATGTCTTCAGAATATCCTAAAAGTTTTTCTGTTCCAATAACCTTAGAAACCAGGTAATATCTTTTACTTCATTTTGTCCTCTGAATGTAACTTGTTTTTTATGGCCTAATGTGCTGATCCACCATATTTATGTACCTTCCTCACATATAAATCAAGAGTTTCTTGCCATGTATGGTATTCACAAAAGATGTTTCTCTAATAAGGACTTTACTAGCTTCATAGTTTAGAAACTTAGCAGTTCTGGGGCCTCTGGGTGGCTCAGTTGGCTAAGTGTCTTACTTCATCTCAGGTCATGATCTCACGGTTCATGAGTTCAAGCTCTGCATCAGATTCTGGGCTGACAGCTCAGAGCCTGGAGCTTGTTTCAGATTCTGTGTCTCCCTCTCTCTGCCCCACCCCCACTCATGTACATGCTGTCTCTCCCCACCCCCATCAAAACTATTAAAAATAAAAAAGAAACCTAGAAGTTCTAACTATGGGTATTCTAAAAATATTGAGACTATTTCCTTTAGTTTGTGTCCTGTGATTATAGAAGAACATTGATTCCTTTTTTAGATTAAATCTTTACATAATTGATCATTAATATGTTCTTCTGTTAAGCAGTTAAGAAGCTGGCTAGATCTGGGTCTTGCCACTCTGGCCCCTTCATTTACTTTTGTTGTCCTGCTCTGTCTTGTTTCACAATACCCTTTTAAATTGTGGAGACAAACACTCCACTCAGGAGACCCAGAAGGGCCTAACCTGTGCCAAGAATAGAGGAGAGTTAGATTGGACTCTGAATGGTGTGATTTGTGGAGTCCAGATCACAAGCCGCATCTGTTGATCTGCAGGTCCGTGCTTCTGCGGTAGGTGTTCCCGGCTGTAGCATGGAGGACCTGGAGAGCCATGTGCACTGGAGTGTGTTGGGTTTGGCAGGCTTTCGGGACGCTTCTAAAAAGTCAGCCTGCTTGTGGCTTCCATGAGGTGGTGACCCCCAGCCCTTCTTGAAGGGGCCCTTGTTCACTGCTCATTGAATCACTTCCAGGTCGTTTGTCACCTCAGCCTTTTTCACTCTCTGGCCTTGTATCCATGCATCCTCAAATAAGTGAAAGGTACTGGAGAAAGCACAGTCATCCCTCAAGGGCTTCTGTGAGGATTTTTAATTCCACGCCTGATAAATCTTTCAGCGTGGCTCCAAGTGGATTCCCAGGGCATTTGCTTTCCTTTGGGCGGGCTGCCTGGTTCTGGTTTCTGACTGACCCTATTTTTGTCTCCTAGGGTGCCACCTGTGGAAATGAAGCGGAGAAATAAGATCCAGCCTTGTTTATCGAAGCCAGCTTTTGCCTCTCTCCTGAGGTAAAAATATAAAAGAAATCGTGACCTACAAAATGTTTAAAATGTGTTTGTAATCACTTTTCACACTTGTTTACTTTTCTTCATATGAATCTTAGCAATATAATGTAGACACTCTATATTTAAGGAAGAGCTTGAATATCCCATCTCTTTATGCGCTTTTAGTCAGAGCTCTGTATATATTTTCAGAAAAGGTATTGAAGAACTCAGACCAGTTATTCTTTTTACACAGGTGAGATTAGAGAGGTCTATTTGTATTTGATCCTAAAAAGTGAACTAGTCTTCAGGGCTTTAATTTCTCCCCTTGTTGTTCCCACATTGTTTTTTACCCTTATGATTTTGTAGCTTTCCTCCTTTGCCTCTAGGTTAAACTTTAGGATGAGAAATTTTTCCTGACTTTGAATGACTTTCAGTGAACTACTTGGAATGTAAATAATAATCTTTATATGGTGGTCAGGACTTGCAGAATAACCACAACTTTGACAGATTACTGGTCAAAATGTTTCTAGAGAAATAGAAATAAATGACAGTCTGGTCATGTTTAACTGTGTAAAACAGGCTTTTCAATATTTTATCCATTAAGGATCAAAAATTTATATATTAAATTTTCTTTTAATTGTGTTACTGCACCTTTCCATTACTGGTTTTTAACCGTTTAGAACTATACATCCTTTTAAGATCAACTGTCTAGGAAATTGCAGATATATAAAATATTTCTGCATATGATTACAGATATGCCATGGCTACTTACAATCTTTCCAGTTAGGATTACTGCAAAACTAGAAGAGTAGTTTTAGACATTTTTAATCCCGACTCCATAGTAAGAAATCCATTTTACCTTGGAATCCAGTATACACTGGGTATAAATAGACGTTTTACTTTGGAACCCAGCATGTATAAATAAGGCTGGGCCCCTGAGAATGCTGTCACTCTCCTAACTAAATCTGGGGTACAGATCATGTGTCACGCGAGAAGGGTCTGTTTCCTTAGTCTGAACATGGTGTGAATTCTTAGCTCAGCTCTGAAGACCTTAAGCTCCTGTGACTTCAGGTGTAGTGGCTCCTGAGTGGCCACTATGAATGAAACTGAAGCCAGAATGAAACTGAATTTATTTTGCCCCTAGTCTGCTGTTTATTTCCATTTTGTCATGCGGCCCCTGAAACCCCAGGGCACTCTGATCTGCACCTGCAATTTTTAGACTAACAAAAGGCAAAACTGATATGACCAGAAAAATGGGGCCAAGTGTGGGGGATGGGGTAAGATGGAGTTCAACTTGTTCCTTCTCTTGCATTAAAAGTAGTTTGATTTTCTTTTTTCTACATTTTCTGGTTTCTACAATTTCATGGAACATTACTGGTTCCATGAAGAAGTAATACGGAGTTGAAATTCATTCAATCATTTATTAACCATAGGCAATCTGCTTACTCTGTGCTGGGTGCTAAAAGTGAGGGGAAAAGACAGAGGAACGTCTCACTCTCATCAAATTTTCTCTTGTCTGAGAGAAGACCTGAGTAGGGGCAGCGGGGCATAGCTCAGGAAGGAACAGGCAATAAGAAGTCCACGTCCATAGTTGTTCTTGAGTAAGTCTTAATGCTGTCAGGAAAGAGTTTAATCCTAGGTGCATCTAACTTTTATTCTATTTTTATTTTCACAGCTGACACAACTTCATGCATTTGGTACTTTTTAATTGGGGAGTAGCTTAGGATTCATGCTTTTATTTTCTTTGTTACCTCCTTTTTCTCTTCTTGTATATGGCTAACACTTTCTCATTTGGTATTGGTTTGTTTTTAAATTTTGATAACCCCCCGCCCTCCCCCCCCACCCCGAGCCTCTAGAGTTGTAACATAACTTTGGTTCCACAACCTGGGTAGGGTTTCCATTCTGGTTTCGTAGTTCGATTGCACATTCCATTTTCTATTTTATTTAAATAGCATTTAAGGTGACTTTTAAATAATTTTATTTTTTAAAGTGTATTTATTTTGAGAAAGAGCAAGAGACTGAGTGGAGGAGGGGCAGAGAGACAGAGAGAGAGAGACTCTCAAGCAGGCTCTGTGCTGCCAGCGCAGAGCCCAACTCAGGGGCTCAATCTCATGGACTGCGAGTCCATGACCTGCTGAAATCAAGAGTATGATGCTTAACCAACTGAGCCACCCAGCTGCCCCCAAAGAATTTTAATATTAAAACATAAAACAATAAGTTAGCATAGAAGTCAATAAAAAGATAAAGAACTTCAAAAATAGTTACACAATCATATATAGTCCGTATATCATGAGTATTACACTGCAGTTGTCTTCAGTTGTGATATTAGAATGCTGCATATATTGTAGGCATTTGGGAGGAATCCTTCTTTTTCCTTTTCTTGCAGGTTTCATCAGTTTCACCCTTTTCTGTGTGCAGCTGATTTTAAAAAGACTGCTTCCTTGTATGGTGGTGATAAGTTTGATTTGCCCTATGGGATAAGAACATCAGGTCAGTAATCTTATTCTTACCCAGCCCTATTAATAGGAGTGGTGTTTGTTTGATGTGAACCACATGTTTATATAATCTTAAGGCCTTTTCATCTTTCTGCTTCATAATGATTCCTTTTTCTTAAAAAATGTTTTTTATCTCTGAGAGAGAGAGAGAGCAAGCGAGAGAGAGCAAGTGAGCAGGGGAGGGTCAGAGAGAGAAGGAGATACAGAATCCGAAGCAGGCTCCAGGCTCTGAGCTAGTTGTCAGCACAGAGCCCGACACGGGGCTGGAGCTCACGAACCGTGACATCATGACCTGAGCCAAAGTCGGACGCTTAACCGACTGAGCCACCCAGGCACCCCCATAATAATTCCTAAAGGAAATGATTTGGCTATGGGATGAAGAAAATTAAATTTTAATACAGAAATCCCTACTGCTTCTTAAGGTAGGGTGGAATTCTAGAATGAAATGGGAAGTTTTTTTGGTTGCTCTTCTGCTCTTTACTTTTGTTTAGCTACAATAGTATTCGTGAGTTCTGATGCCTTATTTTATTCCACTATTGAATTAGCATCATAACCCAGTGGGTTAACTTCCTCCCTGTCTCCCTTTTGGCATTTTTACCTCTGACTTTTATTTTATCCCATCAATTTAAGTTATAGCTCCTTGATCAGCCTTTTAACCAGTGGGTATTTTGCTAAATTGAAAGAGAAATTACTCTATTTACTAATGACAAAACAGTTTTCACTCCACTTATTGACAACTAATTGGCTTTAAGCAGCTTTAGGTTGTAGATTTTTGAGAGACCCTGAAAGCCCAGGAGGTGACAACAACTTAGTTATTCTGAGTCATATTTTTATATCAGCAGATCCTGCTTTCTGTGTGTGTTGTATGTATGTGTGTGTATAGGTTTTAAAAATGTACGGCAGAGAATCTGATAATTTCATACATTTACATTTGTTGAATATTGGTTTCTATACTAATGTCAGTTTGAAAGGCTAAATTCTACACTAATATCATCTGATGTTGGTATTTTTTGGATTACTTTCTTAGTTATTTTCAGATTAAGCACCTTTTTCTTCCCCCTAGAGTTTTCAGGAAGTGTCCTTAGAGCATTTTTGAGTGGACTTATTGAGTAGTGCCTGCTAACTGCAGTTGTATCGTTAATTTCCACCATGGAATAAATTCATGTGGACTTACCAGTTTGAAATGGGTTTGGGGGAGGGATGGGGACAGGTTACTTACTAGATACCTAAGAAACCATCATTCCTTTTATTTATAATACTCCATTTGTTTTCTAGCGGAATATTTTCGACTTGCTCTTTCAAAACTACAGAGTTGTGATCTCTTTGATGAGTCTGACAAGTGAGTTTATTTCCTTGCTTTGATTTGACTTTTAGTTTTAGCTAAGGTGGTTCAAAATATGTACCCCAATGTCAAATGTCTTCACTCAAGAAAATTCCATAGTAGTTGTGCATGACTAAAACATGTAGTAGTTATTTCCATGACCCTTCAAATAAACAAATTACAAGATTAATTTAGAAGCTACAAATCTGGTTGCCTCAAAAGTTTGCAGGGAGTCTCATGATGAGCAATGCTAGTCCCAGGTCAAGACATTTTAACCCACATTCTCCTCTCCTAACTTGTACTGGAGAATTAATTTGTAGCCCCTGTTTATCAGCTCACCGCCCCCTCCACAGGCTTCCTCCTGTACCTTCCCATATATCTTCTGACTGCTCATCAGGATCCTCTTTGTTTCACTTGAATATTGGATTTCAGAAGCCGTTCTCTTCTATTTAGACTTCTGCTGGAGGGGCGCCTGGGTGGCTCAGTTGGTTAAGCATCCAACTTCGGCTCAGGTCATCATTTCACAGTTCGTGGGTTCGAGCCCCACGTTGGGCTCTGTGCTGACAGCTGGCTCAGAGCCTGGAGCCTGTTTCAGATTCTGTGTCTCCCTCTCTCTCTGACCCTCCCCTGCTCTTGTGCTCTCTCTCTGTCTCTCTCTCTCTCTCAGAAATAAATAAAAAACATTAAAAATAAATAGACTTCTACTGGAAGAAAGCAGTTTGTTGAGATAATACTTTTTCTGCCTACAAAAGGTAATTTCTTTGGTAGAAAATTCTAGTGTCAAGTTAACCCTCTAGGAATGAAATTGCTGATGATCAACTCCTTAGAGACACTTATTCCTACAGTGGTAGACTTTCTGTACAAATTCTTCAGCTACCCTTTAGGATTTGGCCAGTGGTCCATTGGGACAGAATAGGCAGCCTGCAGAGGTCAGCCCTCCATTAAAAAGCAAAATGACAGAATTTTCCCTCTTGCCCATGAGGACAGAAGTGTATTTAGCAGACACCTAACACCTAAATGAGAGTAGTAGATAGAGATGTGAAAATGGAACTAGAATGTAGAGAACACAGCTGGAGGAGCAATGTTAGATTTTTTCTGAATTTTTTTCCTTTTTCTCTGAGAGTCCAGATGTTCGAAGTGTGATTATGTAATAAATGTTGGCTCATCTCAGCTTGTACTTCCTTGTTATAATTTAAAACTATGCCATCAACTTAGTTTTTGGTTGCATATCAACAGCAACCATGTATGTTCTTTTCTAGCCTAAGTTGTATGTAGCTCTCATGGGTTGAATTTTGTTTTGTGCAGATATTTGGCATATGTGCAGTATGTCCTGCTCTCTGATTTTTAACACCACCCTGCAAAGTATGCTTGATAATCTTTTTTTTTTTTTCTTTAACGGAGAAACTAAAACTAGGCAAATATACATAGTTTGTTACAGTAAACTATAAACTATAAACTACAGTAAACTAAAAACTATAGCCAGGATGTGACCCTAGAGAGTTCCATCTAGTGCCCGGAGGTGTGACTTAAGAGTAATAGTGGCTGTACCTTAAATATTTGGAGCAAGTATTTATAAGATCCTTGTCCCTGTAAATGTGAGCTACTGCCACGATTCTTGGGTGTGTGTGACTAGATATTTCATTCTTTCCTGGTTTTTATCTTAGAACCAGACTGTACTGTCAGTAGGTGCTTTCAGAAGCCCTTCCCACACAGATCTTCATCATCTGTGTGTGCCTCAGCTAGGCTTGTCCGTCTCTTCTTGCTGACATGGTCTTGCTGTTTCCTTTCCTCCTTCGTCCCTGAGCATGGACCCCACTCCCAACATCAACCCATCTCAGGCTCTTAGCATCACTCATGTTGGAAGAGGGGTAAGTGTGGGTGGTGGGGAGGGATGGAAGATCTTGCTAATTGCACAGGAATCCTTTAGTCTGAGGATGTCAAGAGAAGTAGAATAAATGTGCAGTCAGAGAGACGTTTCGGGTACAGAGGGAATGGAAAATCCCCTTGTAGGATCTCCACGGAGTGCACACAAAGACGCAGTCACACAGTCAGCCTTGCTGAAATGCTTGTTTCCTAGGGACTTGACAAAGAGTATTTGAAAGTAGATAAGAATATACTTGGGACACTATTTGCTATTTGCAAATTAACTTTTGGGATGGGCTCACACATAATAAGTAATTATACCTGTATTTTAAGCAAGTCGTTTGCGTTTATCTGAATGCCACTGTATAACATAAAGACAATAGTAGCCCAGTCTGTGCCTGAGCAGTGCATTTTATTTTATTTTTATTTATTTTTTTAATGTTTTTTTTTTTCCCCCTAGGAGAGAGAGAGAGAGAGAGACAGCATGAGCAGGGGAGGGTCAGAGAGAGAGAGAGTCACAGACCGAAACAGGCTCCAGGCTCTGAGCTGGCAGTCAGCACAGAGCCCGACGCGGGGCTCAAACCCACGAACCGCGAGATCATGACCTAAGCGAAAGTCGGACGCTTAGCCGACTAAGCCACCCAGGCGCCCCTATTTTATTTTTGAAATACTTATTTGGGAGAGCCCATGCACGTGCACATGCACATGGGGGTGGGGGAGAGGAGAGGAGGAGAATACCAAGCAGGCTCTGTGCTGTCAGCGCAGAATTGAGAGCTGGACGCTCAACCAACTGAGCCACCCAAGCGTCCCTGAGCTGAGTATTTTAAATAAACTCCAGAAAGGCAGAATATACTAACCTGCCTTATTGTTGCCTCTGAGTAAACTGTTTGTCTCCTAAGTGACCTTAAACATCTCCCATTTCTCCTCTCCGCCTGGGGGAAAATGCTCTAGAAGAAACAGGTCTGAGAACAGTCTCTTTCTCAGGCAGACAGTATGAACTGCCCCCAGCTGTGGATTCAGGAGCTGGCCCCCCATGGACCATGAGGAAGTCTTGTTGGCGTGAGCCACCCACTCGGTCAGGGGGTCTGTAGGGTTGGGACAGGCTGAGCAGAGAGAGGGGAGCTCTGCTCTTTCCAGTCCCTTCCCACTTGGGCTGCTCTCTTTACTGATCTTATTCCTTCTCTATCCTCTTGGTTTCTTCCAGAGGGTCATTTTGCCACTGTTTGAAACCTGAATTCTTTACAGTTCTACCAGATCTAAGTCCTGCTTTTGTTGAGTTACATTATTCAGTTCATGTGATGCCCTCTGTCGGGAGGGATTGCCCTGTGACTAGGAAAGCTCTAAATAGCAGATGCATTTACAAGAGAGAAGTCTTCCTCTCTCTCACAGGTGTCACATAAACAAAGTCTGCAGGTTAGCATGTGCATTACCCACTTGATGTTATTGATCTTTTTGATCTTAACAAGGAATGTAACCTTGGGCTTTTCCCTTTATATTGTTGAGATTCTCTCCCGAGCAGCGACCCAGCAGGCAGCAGTGGGGTGAACACCGAGGCACTGTACTTTGCCTAAAGAATCTTGATGACCTAAGCTTGACTATCTCTGCTCTGTTGTATGGCCTGAGAGCTAGACTCAAAAGCAAAGTGGTGAATCATACAGATTGTCAGGAAGGGTGGAGATCTAGTCCAACCCCCTCACTTGAAAGGTGAGAGAGGTTACGTGGAGGCCTGAAAACTTCGCTCTCAGTACCTCTTTTCACATTTTAACAAGCAGGGAAAAGACAGAAAAGACCCCACAACTGAAGGTCTTAAACTGAGCATCTTCTGAAGAGCTAAGAGGAAGAGAATTCTGAAGAGGAATTGTGAATTATTTTGGATACATTCTTGAGGATTTCCAGGGCTATAAATCTTGTGCATTATTTAATACAGCTTTCACCTTTGTCCTTAACCTCAAACTGTTTCTAACCAGGTGATCTTTCATACTTTGGCAGGGTTAGACCAAAACCTCTCCAGGCTACAGGCATCAGCTCATTGAAAACACATATATGTTAAAGAGGTTGTTTTTTGTTTTTCTCTTAAAGATACATGATCACCATAGAATCTTCTCTGGATAGGTCATACAGAAAAACCCATTTTTTCTGCTCATCTCTCACCCTGAAAATCAAGCATCGTAAAAGTGCTAACTGATCATCTCTCAATTCTGGCTCTGAGTCAGCAGACCTAACTGTGGCAAAGAGAAAGTCACAAATGTTGACAAACCATTTTTTTAAACTGAGGTGAAATTCACATAAAATGAACCATTTTAAAATGACCAGTTCAGTGTCATTTAGTACATTCACAAAATGGTGCGACCACTACTTCTACCTAGTTCCAAAAAGACATTTTTTAAAATGTTGATTTATTTTTGAGAGAGGGAGGAGGAGAGAGTGAGCGTGAGCCCACGTGCATGTACATTATCGGGGAAGGGACAGAGGGGGGGGGACAGGATCTGAAGCAGGTTCTGTGCTGACAGTAGAGAGCCTGATGTGGGGCTTGAACTTATGATCTGAACCAAAATCAGGAGTCAGACACTTAACCGACTGAGCCACCCATGTACTCCCAGACCAGTTTTTAAAATAATTAGAGCAACCCTTTTCATGTTAATTTTCACATTCTACTTTTATGGAAATGCTCAGACTGGCTCTCAGGCCAGGACTTTCCCAGCAGAGGAGTGATCATAAATCAGCCAGCAAAGGAGAGCTTGAAAAACAGGGTTTGGGGGGGAAGGGAGGGAGGTAACAGGCGGTGGGGGGGGGGGGAGAAGTCAGGAAGTGGGCAGGCATGGGACTTCCAAGTTGATGAGTCAGTACTTGTGAAAAAGGCACTGTTTTGGGACCTTGGGCGAGTTCCTGCATTTCTGAACCTTAGTTTCATGTAAAAGAGGGTAACGGAACTACACATGCACATTATGCCAAGGTCAGTTTTAATAGTTAATAGTTAAGTCAGTGTAACCATTGCACAGTCATTGAGTCAATGTAAGCATCGGTACTGTTTTTGCAACTTTCTGCAAATCTAGAATTACCTGCAAATAGAAAGCTGACACTGAAACCGTGACCACTGAGCTTCTACATGAATGTTCAGAGGAGCATTAGTGATAGTACCCCAAAGTGGAAACAAC